TTTTTTCAATCATAGATTTTTATTAAGTATCAAAGAAGGGTAAAAAAGCAACCAGATTACCTGGAATGTTACTCGCAAAACAGGTGCACAAGAGGAAACAAAGTTAAATACAGGGTGTTCACATATACATCCCATCATTAAGCAAAATACTAATACACCCCTTTTAGTCTATATCTATATCTATATATATATATATATATATTATCATTTTGTAAATCAAGTTTTCATTGAATTCAAAACCTATTCATCTTGACTTGCAGTTTGATTACATTGTAACAAAAAACATGTTTAAAAAGTTAAATTCAGGTTATCAAATCTTCCTCATTCCACGTAGTATAATATTTGTGAACATTCTCAAGCTATTATTCCTGCGAGCCTTGATTAAATGAGCATCAACTACCAACTGTACACCACACATGCCCATGCAGGCATTTCATAAATTTAAACCCCATTTAAATACATCCAAGATGATAGACTCGATCAGAACACCTTGCCCCGTACTCTTATTAATTTTTGTAGGAGCTCTTTCTAAATTTAGGCAACACCCCTGTTTTCAGAAATAGGAACATTCTCCTCTCCACAATTCTATCAAAGTACCCGCATTCAACTCTTCTTCAACTACTTGGATTCTTGTCTACTTTTATTCTGGAAATATCATTTCAAGCTTTGCTTGTCCTTCAAAAATGGAGTCCCATTTTCCACTTCCTCTTGCTTTCTTGCTTCCTCCTTTTCATTCTTAAAATCTTCCTCTTGAACTTAAAGCCTTCTCCTGTCTATCTTGTGCACTTCTCATGTTTCAAACCCCCAAGTATTTCACTTCGTACGGCATGTCTCCATGATTGAATCTTTCAACAGTGAAAGTATAGAATTCATGGTCAAAATATTCGCTTCTTCGGGACTAAGCGAAGACACCTATCTTCCTCCAGCCTTACACTGCATTCCTCCTGAAGCACATCAAGAAGAATCCATTAGAGAAGCCGAAATGGTGCTCTTCCCTGTAATGGATGATCTTTTATCCAAAACCAAACTATCTCCCCGGGATATCGATGTACTCATTGTGAACTGAAGTGGTTGTTGCTTCTCTCTCCTCCCTTATCATTAACAAATACTCCATGAGAAGTGATATCAAGAGCTATAATCTCTCTGGTATGGGGTGCAGTGCAGGAGCTATTGCCGTTGATTTGGCCCAAAATCTTCTCAAAACTCGTAAGAACTCTAATGCCATTGTTCTTAGCACAGAAATCCTATCCACCGGTTGGTATTCAGGTTACGAGAAGCCTAAGTTACTCCTCAATTGCGTCTTTAGGATGGGCAGCGCCGGAATCCTGCTCAAAAACCAAAAAGAAGCGAGAAAATCATCGAAATATAAGCTTTTACAGTTTTACACAGTCTAAGAACCCAAAGAGCCTTTGACGACAAGGCTTATTTCGCGGCATACCGTGAAGAAGACTCTTGTGGAAATCTTGGGGTTAAGTTTAAGAAAGATTTACTACAAGCCGTAGGAGAAACTCTCAGGTTATACATCACAATCCTTGGTTCCCAAATCTTTCCTCTCACTTGGAAACTATGGCCTGTTGTTTCCATCATTCGAAAGAAATTCATTGACAAATCAGGGGAAATCTACATGCCAAGTTTCAAGACTGTGATACAACATTTTTGCTTGCCAACTTCAGGAAGGCAACCGATAAGAGAGGTAGCCAAAGGGTTAAAGCTTAACGCAAGGGACTTTGAAGCTGCTTTGATGACACTGCATAGGTTCGGGAACCAGTCTTCTTCTTCATGGTGGTATGAGCTAGCTTACTTAGAGGGCAAGGAGAGAGCGAAAATGCGTGATAAGGTTTGGCTTCCGGGGTTGGGCACCGGGCTTAAGTGCAGTAGCTTGGTTTGGGAGTGCTCAAGGCCCATAGTTGGGGAGTCCGAAAGAAGCCCTTGGAGCGATTGTATCCACCGCTATCCTATGCAGGCCGTTCATCAAGGTGTACAAACCGACGGTCACCATTAATTGTGTAATATTATTCTAGGCATGAAATAATTTTTTTAGAAAATAAAAATTCATGAACTTTCATTGATAATCAGGAATGAAGCATTCCTTTTCATGGAAATAGCAACAAAACGCATTCAGAAACCAAAAATATTGGAAGATGTACCTCCAATAGAAGTTGGTATATCTTTCCAATATTCCCTTACCAGACTTATCTCGTTCGAATACGCAAAATTCACTTACTTATCTTTACAATAAAAATTAAAAGAGGATTGCCCACTAAACTTTCGAAGTATAATATTGGCCATGTTTTATACAGACACAAGTCTCAATAGTTTCCGTCACAACTTTCGTAGATATTTAGCAGAAATCATCAAATTGAAGACATAAATATTAGACTTAAAGCTTAATTGGAAGTTCAAAATTTTGAGTTTTTATCAATTTAATATTAAACATTCAATTGTAAGAATTAAGAGTCAAATGTTTTCAATTCTTTATAATTAAGAGTTAAAGGTGTGAGAAATTTAACGTGTATATGACATGAACACTGACTTAAAAAAGTAAAATATAAAAAAATAATTTTATTAGATAGTTTTTTTTATTCATTCAAAATAGTTCATATTATAACGTAGTAATAATTTTTTTATCACAATGTATAATAATTAAATTTTTTAATATATCGTGTAATAATTATATTTTTTAATATGATGTATATCAATTAAAATTTAATATAACACATAATAATTATATTTTTAACATAATTTTCTATAGCCTGTAATAAACGATCTATCTATCTATCAACTTAATTTTTAATTATAAAAAAATAAAAACTATTTGATCTTTAATTATTATAATTGAAATATTTAATTTTTTATTAAAAAAAATTCAAACATTTAACTCCAATGTAAATATTTAATCTAAATATTATAATGCGATATTGAATGGCCGAAATATGGGGGGTCGTTGGAGGCTTAGCTAAACATGGTGGGGCATAGGCGTTAACAGTAAAGGAAAGAGCAATGACTGTCCCTATAAATTCAGGTACATGCATGGTTTAGCTGGGAGTTTAAGATAATGACTGCAAATGGTCAGCACGCCCGGCTGCTAAGGTACTTCCTCTAATAATTAACTTTTGACAATGAGAGGAAAAGCCAGAACATTCTTTTGACTGCAATTTATTGTTTTTTTCGGTTGATTTTATGAGCCAAAGTACGTACAGTACTAAATTTTTTTGTTTTAAGGGATAATGTGCGTACCTCAATAAAATTCATTGGAAATAAATTCCTTGGTCCTTTGTGCTTTGTGATTAAGGGTCCAAAGCCTGTGTTTTTAGCTGTAAAACCAAGCAGTAGTCATTTCTCTCTCTCTCTCTCTCCAAATCTTCTTCCGTTTATGCAAGAATCAAAACACTCATTTTTGGGCCTGGAAGTTTTGCAATAAACGAACGAACACATGTGGGCTTACTTGCTGCAGCTACTGGAGCCTTAGGCCCCCATTTATTCCAATCAGTTAATGAGAAAGAGAAAGAGAAACTCTTCACAAACTAAAAACTTGTGGTTTTTTCAGAGAAAGGGAATGGAATCAATTTTTTGAATATGGAACACTTGTATTTATCATTGATCAATACTCAAGTGCAGCTACAAATGAGTTCTTACACAACATGCAATACAGAGAACTGGTTTCGAGTTAACCGTTTTTTTGTCATGTAACATCTACATAGGGGAAGACATGGACCTATGTTGTTACGTCATTACACGCTTACAGGAAGACATGAGCTCATGAACATGACAAAAACATTCTTATTTTTCGAAAGCCCTGTGACTTGAACTTGACAAAGGACACATTGGCCTAGCCGGAGGATCAGGATCTCAGAAGTTCGAAACAATTAATGATTATGTACTAATTAATTAAGGATACTTAATTACGTGATCGTT